CTTTTCTCCACGGTTACGCCAGAAAGCACTGTGGTGCGTTTGTGATAACTGAATCCTTTGGCTCCACAGAAAAACTGCTGCCTGCGCCCTGCGTCCTCGGAGCGCACGCCGCGTTTCAGGACCTGCTCTCCCGCGGACAGCGCCCGCGCTCCAGCCCCCTGGAACCCAAAGCCACACACGCCGGCCAGTTGCTCGTCACTCACGGTAGACCAGCCAATCACTACCCGCAAGGAGCCACTACGTCAGCGTTAATCCCGACCGGTCGGGCGGGGGAAGACGACGATTGGCTGATGTAAATCCCCTGCGCCAATCACGCTCTGCATGCATTGTCCGTCCGCCAATCAGAACTCTAGACGAAGCGAACCGGGCTCAGGGAGTAAATGATCATATGTTTAATTTCAATTAAGGAATTGAAAAAAGGACTGCCTTTATACCCATTTGCGTTCAATTTAATTATGTCAATATTAAGTTAATAGTTAATATGCTAAATACCAATATACTATTACCAAAAGAGACCTTGCTGCAGCAATAGGTTCTAAGGGAGGGAATAATAATAATCAGTCAAGCATAAGATATATTCCTTGCGCTTAAAAAAAATAAAAAATAAACACCTATTATGAAGAATACTGAAGACGCCGTGGAGCACTTGGGGTAAAGCGCCTGGTTGGATTTCCATGTTGAAGACCATAAGGTTAATTTTCTGCTTTATTATACCTCTCTGCAGGCCTGCAGGAGTGAGAGCTGTCAACAATTGGCCCTGCATAATTGCCCTCCTTCTCTCAACACAGCATTATGAATTTTTAGCTTTGGGGAGAAGCGGGAGGAAAACACTTGCGCTCTCATTACCTAATTGATTGCGGATTCGAAGGGATGTAGTCCTAATGAAATGCAACTGGCGAGCTCCGCATTTACTCACCACAAAGTGAGAGCAGCATTCAATACATGTTTGGTCCCACCTGATTTGAGAGGGCATATTTAAACCCAGCTCCTGTAATATTAACCACACAAATAGCCTAAAGCATGTGCCAAATTAAAAAGTGTTATTTCCCTTCGTCCTGTTTCTATTTAATCATTTTGTTTGTTTCTGGGAGTGTTGACACTGGGCGTCTAACCCGGTCCGTGTCAGGACAGGACAGGAGGATAATTAAAGATCCTCATCCTACGGTATTGTCAATAATTAGGCTGAGATACACCGCGCTAGACAAATACACAACAATAAAATGATTTATACAAGTGTGACGAACATTTATTCACGCAAGATTTGAAGTGTTGACGTACCTTAAGGCAATGTGTCTGATCGTGAAAAGGTCAATGTGTGATTTTATTAAGTTTAATTCATTTTTTTCCCCCGCCTTCATCTTTAGGTTAAATTTCATGCTGTGTCTCAGTGGTTGGATCTGATGCCTAGCCAAGCTCCACCCTAACAGGATAACTGTTCGTACAGAGCACAGTTGCACAGGCACTTTAAAGACAAATAAAGTTTCTATTCTCGCGTTAGCAAACCACTCAGTACTTTACACGTTTCATTGTCTTCGACAATTATCTCATTCTGAGGGTTGTCTTCCGCTCTCTGTCTGATGCAGTCTTCTCTTCTCTTCTTCTCTTTAATGTGGAGGTTGCTTCAGAAACCACGAGGGGGCGTAAAAACCAAGCCAACATGTGTACAAGCGCGCGAGCGTCCACACCGGTACACGTTAGTGTAAAATATAGGAAACTTTACCACCAGTGCATTTTAACTGATGATTCAGATGAAGAAGGCCAAGAGAACAGACTCAAAAAGTCTACATGTAAAAAAACAAAACAAAAAAACATGTTTATATAACAGGGTTAGTAAATATCTGCGGTGCTGGATGTCAAATGAGCCACTTTATTCACCCAAACCCGTGATCTCCAACACGAAGCCTGGCTTCATGAATGTTCATTGATTCCACGGTTCTTCTCTGTAATCCACTAACACTGACAGTAAAGTACACCTCCAAGCATTCCCACTAATCCTCATTCATATTTCACATCTGTTTCTGGAGTATTCATCAAATCAGCTTCGTCCGAATCTCTCTCTCACACACACACACACACACACACACACACGGACACAGATTGATTTTTGTTGTCATATTCCAAAAATACAAGAGAAGTACACGGTGGACGAGACCGGAGGTTTATGCAGCACGAACATCGGGCCCTGCATGTGAGGGCCAAACAAACAGGAATAACCAACCTGTGCCTGGATAAGACTTACAGGTATAATCCAAACATAATCGTTCAAACTATTGTTACATTTTCAAATATGGCCTGCGTGGGAAAATTGGCTCTTAAAAAATACTACGATATCAATAATAAATTATCATGCAATATTATTTATTTGTGTTTATTTCCCCCTCGTTTTCTTTTATTCTTTATTTCCCTTGTGCAGCCAGATTCTGCTTTTCTTTGATGGGAAATAGATGCGGGCTCGTTTCCTCTCATCACAGAAGTAAATTACACCCGCCGCCCTTGTTTTTTTCCATTTGCAAATTAAATACATAAGCAATTAAAAACCCAAACACAATCAATCATGTATACAAATTGTTGTTGCTTTAGGGTTACACATTTGTGGAAAACTAGCATCAGGCTATGACTCTAATCCGGGGGTCCAGAACCATTAACATATTTCATTACCTCTGCAGAGCTTCAGATGGATGGATGCATGGATGGGTGGATGGATGGATAGATGGATGGATGGAGGATGAGAGGGCGGTGTGTGCCTCAAAATGTGGCTGAGTTTGAGTTGTGATAATAATTTGGAGGATATTTTGGTGCCAGGGTTGTTGTTGTTGTTGTTGTGTGATTGCTTCATTCTTCCCCCTCTTTCCTCACCCATGCCCTGCCTTCCCCCCAATGCACAACCAACAGCCTCAACTGTTGTTTTTTTTGCGCCCGAGCTTCGAAACGAAAAAGCTATGAAAAATTAATAGCGCATGTTAACTCCACCAAGCTCGTTTATTACACGCCCGCTGACTGTAAACATAATGAGGAGCCCGTTCTATCTGCTCATAAGTTTTCCTCTGCTTATAAAATATAAAAGTCAGGACGATCAAATAAAACACACCGCCCGGAAAGTGAACCCTCCAGGTCTTTCCCGAGGTGGAAGTCGACTGTACTGAGCTGGTAAATCACTCCGCTTCTCCCACTCACAGCTCCAATGACAGGCAGCCATTTGTAATCATCTGTCACGGTGGTAATGTAGCTAAATATCAGCCTGACGTGTGGCGGACAGTAAAGGCCCAGTTAGACGTTATTTCAGGCCGCAGACTGTGCTGCGACGGGGCTCCTGAGGTCAAGATGAAAGTAGGCCATGTGCCACGTCAGGTCACCTCTTCCTGCTCCCTTTTTTTTTAAATTATTTTATCAAGTAAATAAATGCCTTACAAATGTTACAATCCAACTATAACAATCATCAAATCCAAAGATGCTTTAAAGGACTAGAAAGAAGCATATGCTCTACGTCTTCTTTTGTTATTTCGACTGGGTTTAAATAAAACAAATTAACTGGTTAATTTTTGTTAATTTTTTTAATCATATATTTCATCTTTACCCACTGGCCCTTAGATGCGGCAGTCCTGCTCAAGAACCCTTTTACGCACTTTTACGCACGACCAACCTGCAGGGCGGGAGCAGAAGAGGGGGTCTCAGAGATCCAAATTTATTCTCAGAGACTCTCCTTTGTACCCCGAGCACGTATTTTAAAGTGAGAGAAAATGATGGCGGCTCTAGGTGTAGGCCCTGGCTGGGCCCTGAAGACCCGAACACGTCAAGTGCACGGGGAGGCCCTTCTTTAAACTCTGATTTCCTCAGTGGTTAAAAAAAGGTTATTATCTAATTGCTACAAATCTCGTGGCTTTCATCGTTTTCCAGAGGTAAAAGCCCATTTTACAAAGGGCTGCAGAGAAGGTATGATCTGTCGTACAGACCAAAAGGATCATTGTATCAACTATGTTCATAATAAGTGGGGAAAAAAGTCAAAAATAAGCTTAAATTTCCGTTGGTTCAAAACTCCACGCTCCTTTCTAAATTATTTACTATTCTCAGACGTGGCAGCGCTTTGTTTCTCGGTGTTTATACAACAATTTCACCTGCCCGCAGTCTCTTAATGACAAACGACGTTTTATCAATGCAGAATCAGCGGGCAGCAATATGAAATGATGTGATATCCATTGGGTGCCATAACGAGGTCGATGGCCTGATCCGCCGCTGTACCAGACCCTGCTGTTCAGTGAACAGGCCTCGGTGAGAGGTGGACCTGTTAGGACACTGCATCAGCAAAAGCTCTGATGAAGAGTCAAGGTGTTTTTAAGATGCAAATAAAATAAAATAAAATAAAACAATAACAATCTTAATCAGAAAGGTCCGTCCTTATCACAAGACAAGTTCGAACTTGTTACTAAAATGCACTGCAGCATCACTGCAGGCCCATGTGGCACACACTTACACACACATGCACTTGAACACTCCAGCACAATAACCACCGTGTTGCACAGCTAATATTTCTAACATAAAGTCAAGAAAAGCTGTTCCCAAAAGATAAAGTTCAAGCAAAACTCCAATATGTAAAGTTGCATCGTGAGTACACCTTTAAAATGCAGACAACAACCACATCAACAGAAAATTCAACCATCATTTTAAAAACCAAAACACTTTCCAAACTCCACGGAAAGTTTCAGTCAACGCTGCAGAAAAGCAGATCGTGCAAGAATCATAACGTCCGAGAACTTAAGACTTTGAAGGAAGTTGTGAAAAATGCTCAAAACTAGTACGTTAAACAGCAATGGTATACTTTGGGGGGTAAAACAAGTATTTGAAAAAAAAAAGTTTGAATAAATATAATTTTGCTCTCGTTAATACCTTATTTGAAGTAGAAAAGTTTTTTAAATAACGATAAAAACACAAAGTTTTATTTTAAAAATTAAAAAAAAAAATTAGCCCAAGAGAAATTAAGAGGAAATTAACTTGTGCGACCTTACCTACTCTTCCCAGGCGCAGTGAAGGACTCTTGGGTCCTTGGTCCATGTTAGTCCGTTAACAGGATGAAGGAAGAAAAAAAGGAAAAGAACAAAAACTTTTCTCTCTCTCTCCCCCTCTGCCTCCCTCCTCCTTTCTTCTTTTTTTGTCTTTCGTCCTACAGTACTTTTGAAGCGAGTTGTACGTTAAAATAATTCGAGTCTTCCGCTCCCTGTTGCACTCCCTGCAAGTGTTCACTCAGCTGCAACTAAACGCTTTAGGTGGAAAAAAGGCTTCGGGGGGAAGCGTGAAATGATCACGCCGCGTAAAAGAGCCGCGCTCTCAATGTGCGCTCATGTTCTGGCCTTTTCCTACACGAGCTACACACGCACGCACACACACACACACATGCGCGCATGCACGCACGAACACACGCAAACAAATGCCTCGCGCGTACATGTGCCAACAGTCGCGCGCGTTTTACGCACACATACACAACCCGCACCTTTTCCTGCAGGGTCGCGCCCCCCCCTCACTCGCAACAACACCACCTACACTCCCACAATATTTATATTAAAGTTACTTCCACTTCGACACACCCTGCAAACACCACCGAAGGTTGGCGTCCTTCGTGCGTAAAGCTAGAGAAAGTTTGGGTTGGACATCATTGACTTAGACACGTATTAAAGTTTTTCTTTTGTAGAAACTCGCAACATGTGCTTTTACCAACATCCAAAACTGCGTAAATGTTACTTTTGTGAACGTTTTGTCTTATATTCCTGCTCAAACATGACGCGCCAGACGCTCTTTACGCATGACGCATGAGTGAGACTTGCGAAAGAGAAAGTGCGGAGCAGGTGCAGACTTCAGGTCCACAGCTTCCTCCAACCTTCTCCTTGTGTGTGGAAACTGAGAGCTCGATTCCAACGAATATTTCCTGTTCACAGACCTGATGGTTCACACACACCTGCGAACCCTAACAATTAGTTTACATATCATTTAACTAGTGAGAATTTCCACTCCACTCTGCGCAATGTGACCTTCTCATCGAACTCTTTATTTATTCTCTCACGGAACGATGACTTTTACTACGTCACAAATGTGTGTCAGTGGCTGCTCCGTGTGGAAAATGACTTGAATTTAAAGCTCCTGGCTTGATTAGGATTTGGCGCCAACCCGGAGAAGTTATCGTACTTACTAATTTGTTTCATTTCAATTTTTGAATCATTTCAAATTTGAATTATTTCTTAAGCTTACACAGTTCCGATTTCCGTTTGTAAGTTAAAGACAGTCACTAATAAACTGTAATATTATCTGAACTGACAGTCTCTGGTTGCTGTACCTTTAGCCTTTGCACAGTTCAGGATGTTGGTTATTTTGCCAGGGCCTCTTCTGTCCAAACACAGAAGTTCAACTGATTTGAAATCATTCAAATTAAAACAATATTAAACACAATAATAAGGTGATTTGAAATCATTCAAATTAAAACAACATTAAACACAATAATAAGGTCGTTTCGTACGTTGTGTTGACCAATGAACAGTTTAATTAAGCTTCTATATAACTCTTATTTGTATTTATATTTGCATATTCTGGTTGATTCATTATATGCTGCACAGCATGCAGTTCCCCCTTCTCCCCTGTAGGCAGTGCTGTGCAGTGCTGTGAATACATATATATCTGGCACATGTCGTTAATAATATTTGTGCAGTAAAGCAGCAGTATCTTAAAGTTTAGTTTGTAGTTAGTACTGACTCCCATGTTTGGACACCACGACGAGTGAGAATCTACACAGATAATCAATGTTTCAAACGCTAATGAGAAGTTTAGCTTTGGAGACTTGTGATTGGCCACTGGCTGTAGGAGGAGTTCTATAAAGATACCTAATGATAGACCAAGCTTCGTAGAGCTGTAAAGGAGAACCTAACAACTGCTTTATGTTCTTTAAAGATTCCCACATGAATGTCGTGGTGACAGAACAGAACAGCACATACTGTAACATCAGATGCATTTTAATAGAATAGATTTAAGAACTTTTTAAACAAAATTTAGCAGGAGGTAACAGCTCCAACTCTCCACCAGTCTGTACATCTGAAACACATAACAGACTCCTGTTGTAGATTAACAATTATATTATAAAAATGAGGCTAAATATATGAAAATATTCATACACAAATCCAGGTCTAAACCTTCTATGTGCAGAAGGCGACTTCTAAATTAGAACGTTTTTTCTATTTATTTTAATTTTAATTCTTCTTCTTTTTTTTCTTTTTTCTTCTTTTTTCAGGAAGACAACCATCAGGTTATAGAAGATGGCGACCTGCTGGGCCGGTATGGCCTCTGTCTGGCCTTAATCCGGGCCTGGCTGAGTGTCCTCTCTCTCCCTCTCTCCCCTCAGTGTCTCATGTCCGTCCTCTCCTCCTCCTCAGACAGCTGCGGGTGTCAGGGTTCAGCCGCAGCCTCCAGACTATTGAGTGCGGAACAAAGCGGAGACAGTGCGCCATTCTGCTGCGCTTGTCGTCTCACGCTGCAACATCACGACCCTGACCTCCGGCTCGCGCCACGAACAGCAAAAACATAAGTAGCGATGTTACCTCTGAGATGGAGAGTAAAAAAACAGAGAGGAGCTGCTGGTCTGACCTTCAGCCACAGTAACACACACATACACACATAAATCAATTTAGTCTGTCAGAGGAGGGAAATGTTAATGTATGCTGGACCTGCAGCAGCAGCAGCAACAGTAAGTTAAAGTAGTTTAGAGTCAAAAAGGTTACAACCGGTGTACACTGTAAAATGTAAATAAAGCACACGTCAAAGTACGTGAATGACATTTATGCTGTCGTTTTGTCAAACTGCGGCCAAAATGTATTTAACCAAGCTGATATTCTAATTTAATACTTTTACTACTTATTAAAACTTTTTTTACGTTGAGCTGCACAAAATATTAAATTTTACATTATTAAAAATTATAAAAAATAATTAGATACTGAAATATCAGAATGATACAGGTTGCTGCCTGTGCAAGTCATTCATTAACGATTTCGTTAAGAATCGTTCCTCATAGATGTTTCAAAATTGATTATTTTTTATTTAAAAAACACAAAACATACAATCATATATTATTATTATTATTATTATTATTATTATTATTATTATTATTATTATTATTATTATCACTGCTATTTCCGGTGCAACTAGTACTATAAATAGTCTTAGTACCACTACTACCGCTACTACTACTGCTACTTCTACTACTACTACTATCACTGACAGCAGTATTTGTTTTAGTAAAAAAATAAATAAAACAGTGAAAAAATAAATGTATTAAAAAATTAATCATAATGCATAGATTTGCCCATGAAAAAAGTTCAGCGTTGTTTCTATACCGTCTTAATCTAACTTTTTGAATGTAAACAGTCTGTGTGGTCTTTCCTGTTTTTAAACGTGTGATTTTACAGCCACGCTCCCGCTGCTCTGTCACGCTGCTCGTGCCCGAGGGCTCTCTTCAGAAGAATTCGCCATAGTTCAGATATTAATCATGACTTGTTTGTTTGTCCTCATTAATGTAATTAATCTTAGGAGGGAAGAATGGGATTAGAGTGGATCGGTGACCCGATCTCTGACCGAGCGGAACCGGAAAGAATCGCATTAAAGCGAGTGACGGAAAGACTAAAGGGACGATTAGAACAATAAGTAAACACGTAAACACAGGGGGAGAGGCCGTGGGTGTCTCTGTGGGACCTCTGGCTTTAACACACAGTTGACTTTGACTCCTAACTACACAGACACAGACACAGACTGAGGTTCTGGCTTTTACATTAATACATTTGCCAAAGAGAGAGAAGTGATGGACGACAGGTTTGTTAATGCTGACAAAAACTTTATTCAGAAAGACGACAAAAACACACTTCCTGTGATTTTTAAACATTCTCACATCATATCTTCAGCTGACTGTTAGATGCACAAATATGGCCAATTGTTTGGTTGTGTCTATTCTGACAAGTATATAAAAAAGATCACTAGGACTGTATATTAGTGAACTTGAACTTATTTCAAATCAATTGACTGAATGATTATTCAGTGTGTTTTTTCCCTACTTTTATTTTTCAATTTTTTCCCAAAAGGTCACCCAGCCACACCCTCCTCCCTCACGACCCCCCTGTCGTTGTAACAGAAATAACAGTGCTCATTATCGTCTTGTTTCTTATCATTATTCTGTGTCTCATTTTACACTGGGTTTCACTGATGACTGTATTTCTGTTGGTACTAACAGGGACAGTAAGACATTCACTGTATTCATTTGTGCAGTGTTGACTGTTGAATGATCTTTTCTCTCTAATGTGCAAAAATGAGTGAAACAAAGTACAACACACAGCGTTCCCAAATATTTGACATTAATATTTTGAGTGTTGAACATAACCAATTTTACAAAATACTAATGCTTGTATTTATTTATTTATTGGCAAAACATGCAGGTTTTACGTAGCAGAATATCATAAACATTTAATTAACCAGAGTAGAAATATTAGCATTTTTCTGTTAATTCCTGTTAAACTTCACTCATGCATCGTTTTTGACTTTTTTATAATGACTTAAGATCAAAAAGGGAATAAAAACTCAAATTTACCAAGACAAAAAAATGCTGCTTTATTGGCTCTCCTCCCTCTTTATCTCATGGCCTGGCCTTGTGCTACGATTCTGAAGTGTAAGAGATATAAAATGTTATTTCTGTACAAAATCAGGATGCATTCTTTCTCTGGTGCTGCATTTAAAATACGGGGCTGCAGCCCCCCCGGTAGACTGTACCTCTGTATTGGTGGGATCTTATCCACTGTGTCGACACAGGGTTTCTTTCTTGTAGCCATGGTGTCTGGGTGTTGCTTGGACTATAGAAGTAAGAAGGAGGCTTAAGGGCTGCACGGGCGGATTGAGAAATAGGAGCTAGTATTTATCCATGAAACATTATGTGACACAACATGACACCAGGCTATTTCTATGTAAAGGTCAACAGTTCAGTGTGACCGTTCAACAAGAGCAGACAAGGCTACTGTCAATGTGGTTTTAAACCCGCAGCTGAGAAAGAGGTGTTGTGGCATGTGTGTGTGTGTGAGTGTGTGTGAGAGAGTGTGGGATTGTGGGTGTGTTTAAATCCTCAAAGACACAAGTCACTCGGTCCAGTCTCAAAAGGTGTTATCAGGCTTGTTCCCTTGTTGCAGTCTCCTTCTGACTGATTTGAAAGTACGTGTTTGGGTGTGCATATGTGTGTTTTATTTACTTATTTTATTTCTATTTATTTGTCACTACTTTGATATTTCCCAGTCCACATGGTCAAAAAAGAAGGACTGAACTTGTTGGGCTTTGCTAAATATTTATTCTAAATGTAATATACAGTAGTGACATCTTGTTTTTTTTTCTCATCTTTGGTCGATGACAAAATAAAAAATTCACGTTGGTTCAACCGTGAAAGAAGAGAAAATATACATCTTAAATCGTGCCAGTACTTTATGTCAAACATTTTCTCAGATCGTACATAGAGTAACATTGTCACCTGTGTGTAATGTAAGTAATGGATGATGTTGAAGCAGCAGATCAGAAAAAGACGTTCTGACGACATTAGACTTAATGTTAATGTTAATCCACTGTTAAAAATCCTTAAAGAAGAATTTGAACACTTAAATAAATGCCCTCTCTGATTCAAACATATTAAATCACATGGTCTTGTGTTAATATATAGGCAGACTGTAATGTAACTAAAGACACACAGCATAGTCACTGTGCTGGTGCTGTACTTCCAGGATGTGTGAGCTCAGAGGCCCCTGATGGGCGATGCCTGGAAGCCATACACGCTGAGCCAGGGTAAGTCTACTTACTTTCCTTCTGCCCGGCCGCTTTGATTCAAGGTGCCTGAGTTTTATTTACATACATATACAGTAACAAAGAAGGCTGTACAAACAAAGAGCGGAATGAACCATCTTGATGCAGAAGTGAAACAAGCTGCTGCCTCCATGTTTGTAATCTACATCTGAGCAGATGTTAATTTTTTTTTTAATACCAGAAACAATAACCACAGCTTTGTGTACCAGTTATAAACGCTGGACTCTTCATGACTGATGGCTTTGTCTACAGTGTTAACTCAAATGACAAAAGGGGAAAAAATGCACTCAATAATGAAAACATAGAAATTCTGTCTGCAGTTTTTTATTCATATGAATTCCTGGTATTGTTGTTGATTTTGTTGTTGATTTTTGGTCAATAACATTTTAATCACAATGTTACATTAAATAACAAGACAGCATTGTCTATTATTCTAGCTAAAAACAAATGATTCTACCTTTGCATGCGATCTGCTAAATAAGTTATCAGTTTTCCTACATATTTACATGTTATTTTATTCATAATAAATGAATAACATTCAATATATTTTTTAACATAATATCAATTTTTAAGCGGTCAATATGAACCTTTAACAGTGAATAAAAGCGAAACAATAGCCAATCTTCACTTTTTGACAGTGTTATCTCTGTCTTTTCAAACAAATGTTCCTCCAAACCAACGGTCATCTGTCGGAGAATATTGTCAATTTGACAGAACAGCTGAGGAGGATTCTCTTCTGGTACCAAATGAAGGGGGAACTTTCTGTGGAATGTACAAACATCAGCAAATGAGAGCAATGATATGCTTCTTTTAACCCTCTTACCCCTCAATAAATAGCGTTCAGAGGGCAGAACCATGCCTTTGGAATGTGTGATTGGAAATCAGGGGACTTTGAATCCTTGTCCCGGAAACTCCATCCATCTTCAACACACCACTGGTCTGGACACATTTAGAGATGAACTGCTGTCAGTCAGCCAGACTTATCCAGCCTTTTCTTTTTGGAAAATAACAATAGTAAATACCGGCAAATGTAGGGAACCCAAAATCAGGCATCCACATCGCAATTTCACCGAGGCATTGAGGCATCCCGAACCTGCATCCAATTTAGAGGGATATGGAGCAAGGGGAGGCACGGGGGCCTCATATGCACTTTCCAAAAACAAAGAGATGCAGTTTAATAAGTGTGTGTGTGTGTGTGTGTGTCAGAGGCACACACGGGCTGAAAGAGGTGCTGGTCATACGACGTGAGGTGGAGTCTAACCTTTGGAAGGTAACAATCCAACTTTGAGATGGCCTTTCCTGTGTTGACACGCATGGTGAAACCTCTGGAATCAGATGGCATTCACCCTCTGATTTCCTATCAAAGCATTATGTTCTCACTATCATTACAAGGGCCATGCCTGTACTTGGTTCAACACAGTTGGAATTATATGAATGGGGGAGGGAGTGGGGTTGTTAATGCTACACAGACTGCAGGAAAGCCGGTAAGGCAGAATTTTGCTCCATCCTATGTGTTATAAATATGACTGATGGCGATAGCTACTCTGTTGAATTACATTTACATATAGATTTACATTCCCATCAACATGTAATAATAGTGCAGGCCTGAAGGTCCATACAAGTCACTCAGACATGCATGCATACACTCACCGTGCACTCAGACCCATTTTGACATTTCATAACTAATATTTGTGTCTTATTGAGAAAGGTGAAAATTCCCTACATCCATCAGAGTGACAATAATCTGTGGTAGGAAACAGTATAGAACTCTGCTGGATCTTTTTTTTCTTCTCAGAAAGATATACAGTGTGTGAAACATGCCAATAATTACATTTTATTATCAGTTTTTGTATTATTACTTTAATGTATTTCATGTGGCAGAGTGTGCATGGAGTTTAAAATTAAGAAGGAAGCAGGTTAATATGCTGCATGGTTACAATTTATGTAACAATCTGAGGATAAATTCAGGACTAATCAGTTGTTTAATTATTATTTTATAAGTGCACATTTGGATTCACAAAATGTATGTTTTTTATATTACCATTATATAAATGCTTAAGTCAAACAAATCAAACAGCTAGTGTTGGGAAAATAGATAAAGAGGATGAGAGCAAAATATGAAAACCACTTCTCTGACTTTATTATTTATTAGTAATTATAAACTATCTATTTATCCAGAACTTCAATGCAGAGTGGAGCTCTTCATGTTAGTATCTTGTTTAGCCATATTGTCTTCATGGCTGTCAGTTGATGACTATTTGTACAGATGCGTCAGAGCTGAGATTTATTATTTATTTATAATGAGGAGTTACAAAAAATGTTTGACTGAGTCATATAATTAAATGTAAGAAAACAGTTCTCAGCTCAGGTCTTGTATTCATAGGTCTCATATTACCAACTTTATTTCCATTTCCAGTGTGTGGTTTTTTTTTTTCAAATAATGTATACATATTTGTATTTTGTCTGTTGGTTTTATCTTAAAGGTACAATAAGTGCATTTTAAGCACAAATGTTGAACAACGTTTCTTGCCAGATATTGAATATGTCACAGAGTAGAATGCTATGTTGTCGTTGCATATTTTTCATACGTTTCAACATTTCAAGTTGCACACATGTAACAATGATGCTATTCATATTGCCTGGTAAATGCTTTTTATGTCAGAAAAAGGTGGAGACGGAACTAATATGTCATTTCAAATAATTTAATATTTTTTATAATTAAATACAAGGAAATAAGTTAGTCATTCGTGCTAACCCCAGCTGTCCTAATATTTTTCAACTCGCATGATTCTCAGCGAAACATCTTGATCGACCAACACATTTCCCTGGGACAAACCCGGAACTAGTTTGTGTCTCTGTGGATGGAGTCAGCAGGATAGGACTGGAAACTTATACCTCTCCAGTTTTGCCGTGTAGAGGTAAGCACCAACATGCTGATGTGTAAGATTTGACATCTGGAGAGAATGCATAAAAATAGTCCACTTGGCCCCGTGTCTGTTTAACTGTCTGTGTTTCCTTAGCATTGTCTCTTTATTGTTTATGTTTGACCGGCTGCTAAAAACACGTGGGCAGACAGCAGGGTCACATGTAAAGTAGGCTCTGTCAACGTGTTAAAATAACCTGACATTAAACGCTTTTTAGACACGATGAGGTGTTTTCCACTGTTTTGAAGCTAATTAAACAATCTCATGATCTGTTCGGGGTTTTTTTTTCGAGCTAGTATTAAATATAGCTGCTAGCTTGTTAGCATTCGGCTGGCTAAAGCTGTTACAATGTAAACAGACTGAGT